TTTATTTTCATAGGAACTATACTTTAAAATGCACAGTTTTTAAGTGTCTATAAGATAGCCTTCAATTTGAAATATTTAACAAAAAATTGACAAATCTCTATCATAAATGTATACCAAAGCTCTCTCTCGTATGTATGTATGTATGTATGTATGTATGTATGTATAATGTGTTTTTTGGAAAATTTTAAAGTAATTGTTTTTGACTAATTTTTTGATAAATGGAGTAAGACACTGCATTTTCCACCCAAAATCAATATTTCCATTTAGACTGCATGGGTATATCTTAGACATGTTGACCTTTCCATGATATTTACTCTCAACCTGAAGGCAAGTGAATTCCAGTGTATGCATGATTCAGTCTGCCATCCTCAGATGAAGATCAAATGTCATTCTTCAGAGTGCTAACATACTTGACCTACAGAAGTCAATCAATTCTTGGGTATCCATCCAACCTTAACTACTACCATAATTTTAGTATTCTTGCATAGGGTAATGGGGAGACATGTTAATGACATGAATTTTTCATGACAACACAATAACTTTCCAAGAGATGCTAAATAATGAAAGACAGAAACCCTCTCATTCAACATGAACATGTTATAGTTTAGTTGCATCTTGAGGCTACAGCCAGAGGAGATTTTAAGGGTTACACTATGGAATTTTATGTAGTATTTGTGTTATTTGTATGTGAGGGATATGTGTCCCTCATCAAACTGCAGTTAATGATGAGGACAGCAGAGACGCAGAGATGGGAGGTTTGTACTATAACCCGTGGATGGCCTGATTGTCATGTAGACACTTATGAGAGATGCTACTCATTTCAATGTCAATAAAGTCTGGGATGTTGTGATGTTTTGACTTGGGTTCATAGTATATATTTTTCTTAAAGTCCTCTAGCCTGACCCTTATTCCCTTCTAATCCTCTTACATGGGAGTTTCCTTTAAAGAGATTGTTGCTTTGTAAATGTCAAGATAAATTTGGTAATTTATTGTTGCAGGAATTTACTATTTTGATAGATATAAGATAATTTCAATGTATTTATGATTAATTAGGTAATGTTTTAAGGAAATTGATATTAATATAGTCTTTAAATATATGTATATTAAAGCAGGCCTTATATATTAAAATAAAATGAGTAAGTTGGATATATTTAATACATATTAATTTACATACACATTCCACATTAATAACAACACCAATTACATGGAGTTTTCATTCCTCAACTACCCAAACCATGTCAGGATACTTACTTACCAATAATTACCAGTAGGCTGTCATGTCATCTTTTTCTCATATAACACTTTTAACTCAGTTTTAGTCATACTACTTAGAAGAGGGGCTCAATAATGAAATGGATGATGGCCCAAAGAGGAATGAATTAGAACAAAAGATCTAAGAAATTGGATGTAATCACTGTAGTATTGATGTATGGCCAACTCCTTAATCTTCACATTGGTTCTAAGATTGAAAGGGGCAAATGAAAGATTAAGACAGCTTAGGCCAGTGAGTTGCCTCAATGAGCAAAAATATTCACTTTATAAGCTTGAGGACTTCATTTTGAACCTTAAAGTCCACCAAGGAATGACAGGAGAGAACTGATTTCACAAAGTTATCAAAACATACACACAATAACAGTGTTCCCTCCACCATAAATATATGCACAGAATAAGTAAAAATGAAAATAAAAATACCCCAGCATATTTAACCTTGCAGCAAGGATTTCAGTTAAACCAAATAATAAATTGCCAGGTCCAGTCAAATTGTGGGAAATGGTTTAAATAAGATATGAGGGGACACACACACAAACACACACACCCACTGGAGCCTCAATATAGTTATGTTGGTGCGTTACATCATTGCATGTTTAATCTTGTTTTAAGCTTACTCAGACTGAAATGCCCTGGGAGAGAAGAACACACTTCTGGGTGTGACTGTTAGGCATAATTATAGAGAGAATTCCCTAATGGAGAAAGGGCTATCTTGAAAGTGGTTGGTGCTATCACACAAACTGGGGATCCAGATGGAATTGAAGGGTAAGGAGAGGGTCCCTGTACCAGCTTTCTCAAATGTTCACTTCTTGGCTGACATAGAGCTGCACTCATTCCCGATGTGAGACAAGTGCATGGCTTTTTAACTGCTACATCATCGCTGTCTCTGAGTTTCCCTATTTGGGAGACTTGAGTGATCCAAGTGGCAGTTCCAATATACATGAGACAGTACGGTTTGTGGAAGATGGTGCCATGACTGTCAAGAATTTGGTTTAAATTCTTGAGATAAATGAATAGTCCATCTTTAAATTCTGTCACTTGTTGGAAATAAACTTTCCAATAGGAACTGAGGACACATCACACTTGAGTGGAGACAGTCTCGAGACCTAAAATTACAGGTATTCCAGCACCCACTGTGACTTTTCTTGTAACATACTGTTCACATGTAAATTCTGAGTCCACACCACAGGGCCAGAATGCATGCACAACTTTTTGGATCTCTACAAAATTTGATCTGAGATTGATTTGTGTTTTCTTCTACCAGGAGTGCTATCAGTACAAGGCATCTTCCAGGTAGTCATAGATTGATGCCTCTTTGCCCTCTGGGACTGATGCACAAATTGCGAAGGCAATGAATGGGTTTAATAGGAAGAAAACAAAGAACATAAGCATCTTACATACCATTGTTCTGTACCAGAAAACAGACAAGATGGCCTTTAAGGTGTAGTGGTATCTTGCCTTGCCAAGGGAATTGTGGTCATGGCCACACCCTTTGGGAATTGTTTCATGTACAGACAAGACCCATTATAAGGTAGAGGAGGGGCTAGCTTATGTTCTTTTAGGTTGAGAGCATAGGAAGGGCAGAGATTGCATGTTCTGGAGCAGGAAGACTGCAGTGGTTATTTACTCTTATTTATGTAAGTGCTTTCCTAATAAATACTGATTTATCATTTATCTTGGGTCTGGAGGACTCATTTAAACCCCACCTTCATTAAGGTAGTCTGTAATTGCATAAGAACATTGCCACAACTAACGACTGAAAATATAATGACAAGAATCATCCTTAGAGACAATACTTTCAAAAGAAGGAAAAAAATGAGAAAATGTTGCAGCATGAATGAGAATGGTTTTCAGTATGATTAATTATGTGATAACTTCTTTCAAACCAATATAATGTTAATTTATATAATTTGACACGGCAGTCCCTAGTACAAGGCACAATTATAAATTTCTTATCTTGTGTTTCTACCTTTGTCAGCAAGCAGCCGACAGGGTTGCCCCGTGTTTATTCTATATTTCAGGTATTCCTGGGCAGAAAGCTTACACCAGGCCAACATATGGAAAAGACCATTCAGCATTACATTGTATTTCCAAAAGTATAGCTCTGTTGCATGACTCCTGAAAGCAAGTGGAGCTAGGAAACAGTTGGCTGTATGTTCATGAGAAAGGAGAAAGGATTTAGGGAACTCCAGAAACACTTCCATGAGTACACCCCAAATCAACAAAGCTGTAGAAAGTGCTGAGGAGCTGGCCACTTAAGGCTTTTAAAGCACCTTGTCTAAATGCTTAAATTCAGATATTGGCATTAATCACCAAAGCAACGCCTTCTGCTCGTATTTGCTATCATTGTCTTTTGTTTCTGAAATGTAAATGGTAAAAAGCAAATCTTTTTTTAGTACCAAATTCCACTGAATCCATTTCAACAGTAACACTGAATCTTCTGTAGGAGTCTGTCCATAACAAATAAGTTACAAGATGGCTAAATCCCCCTTCTGATTCACAATAACAAAGAACTGAGACAGTCAGGGAGACTCTGGAGCTGTTAGAAAGTTCTTGAAGGTCAGAACCCTCTTAAAGGACTTATGACTGCTTTTGATTATAGCACCAGATAATTGGAAATTTTTTCTTCTCTAAGTTAATAATTTTATTAATAGAATCAATTTGTAGTTGGTATTTATATTCGGACACAGTAGGAAATGCTAAATTATTTACTGAGCAAAAAAAATGCGTTTTTCATAATTAGTATCGAACAAGGGTATATAGAAAAGAAAGCTAAATGAACGATGTCTCGATTCTCATTATAGCCTCAAAGCTTCAAGCCTTTGCCTGAAGGAGTCCAAGCCCTTTCTCTGGGCCCCAGCTTGGAGCTTGACTTCATTCCCTGTTAGTACAGGTGTGCCTCAGATTCTCACACAGTCATGCTGATTTGTGTCTCCTTCAGGTGAAAGTTTGATTAAGGCTCAGGAAGAGTAGAGATTTCTGATGGCTACAGAATTATAAACTGCGTGTGTGTGTGTGTGTGTGTGTGTGTGTGTGTGTGTGTGTGTGTGTGTGTGATCATATATGTGCACATACACATTTGGGACCACATAATGAGAATGCACAAAGAGTTGACTTTTTTTTGCCATGTGAGACAGAGCAAGAAGGGTAGGAATCTGATCCTGATGATGCTAGTGCCCCAGAGAGTCTCGATTAGCTAGCCCCCATAACCATAAAAATGACGTCTAGGATATTTTTGTTTGGTGCCATCGTAAGAGCACATGAAAGAGAATTCTGACCAGCAAGACATTGCTTACAGTTTCCAACTTTCCCTAAACTGTCTCAGATCATTGGTTTTTCTGAATTATTTTCTTTTCACTTGATGAGTTGAAAGTATTCTTGCTCTAAGTATTGCTGTAGATCATACATCAGAAGTGAGGTCACATTGTACTGGTAACATTGAGGACTAAACATCTGTTTTTCACCACTGGGTTCATTAATGACTTAGAACTATACAATTATATTTCAACAAAACTACTTATTTATAAAGGATCAGCTATTCACTGAAGTATTGCTAAAGTACTTCATACTAAACGGTTGTTAATAATTGCCTGTCTTCAAAGGTTCTGTTCTAATTGTAAAATCAAGTTGGAGTTGAAAGCCAACATTATTGGTAAACTCAGATCAATTTTGAGAGTGCCTCTAAATCACACTAAGAGCTCAGTGTTTAAAAACCTGATAGAAATTCATACCTATATTCTTCTTGGGTGAAGCGTGGGATCTCTCCAGGATGTAAGACGAGAATTCTCACGGTGGCACTGCTGGACATCACAGGCTCGCCCTCATCAAAGGCCACAACCACCAGCTAAAAAAGTGACAAGATCCACATATAGATTAGGAACAGGAGAAAATGCCAATACAGACAGTATCAAAGATTTTGCTATTTTGTTCCTGGTTCCAGTTGCAGGAAGAAGTAATCATTTTTCTAGTCCCTTCAAGGAAAGAGTTATCATGTTAGAATATGCTACATTCTCCCATAATCTTCATAAACAGCTAGCTATGTAATGTCATTTTTACTTGCCTGAAAAAATCAAATGAATTACTAAAGCTACCAAGAAAAAAAATAACTTCTCGTAGAGTATATGGATGATGTTCTGTGTAATTCTAAATGGGTTTCTACAGTCAGTGCAACACACTTACTTAAAAGGTGTTAACTCTAGTTGTATCAACAGCAAAATGATAATTAGTTTACTTACAAAAATACTAATTTTCCAGTGAATTTTCTCAAGATAAAGAGTAGAAATGTTTCTCTCTAGAGAATAAAACAGGCAACCTCTATAGTTAACACTTTATTATGTAATCTCTTAAAACAATTAGTGTATTTAAAACCAACATACACTACATAGTGGACATTATTCAGATACATAAACTGAAAAGTTTTAGTCTCATGAGGTAATATCTATGTATTATTACTACATTATTAATTGGTACTTTCCCTTAACAGCTATAATACACAAAGAAATGCTCTAATATTTATGCTAAGGCATGCCAAACATTTTCACAGAGATGTATGCTTTTGTGAAAATTATAGGTTATAACTACAAAGCAACTCAGTTTAGGTTAATGGATATTTTTCTTCAAATTTTCTAGAAGCATTATCTGTCAAGAATATGTGATTTTGCTTCTGCAATCGTACTTGTGGGCACTTATGCTTGTAAGCAGGTGTACAATGGCATTCACACAAGTCATTTCAGAACAATAGAGTTGCTTGCTATAAAAGCACAGTAGAGAACTAATGATCTACTATAGCAGAATTAGAAACACAAAGAAAAATGTAAAGGTTTTACTGGCATAGCAGAATGCCATATAGCCATTAGGATAAGAGTATTCCTTGTGTTGGTATGGACAGTATGTAATTGAGTACAGACTGACTATCATAATTACTGTAAGGCATAGACTCTCATTATAAGATCAAGTAGTAGTCTCTACTTATACCAAATGTATAATATATGAAGTAATTATTAAATACAATTTCCAAATTTCAATGAGAAATGGTATTTTTAAAACCAAAGAGGTGAAAAATGCAAAGAAAATCATATTGACAACTGTTAAGCAAAACCCTCAGGGCTAAATGTCAAATAGATGTCACACTGACCTTAAAAATTGTTGTTGGCTCTTCATTAAGATTGACACGAGTTATTACTCTTCCAGAATCTTCCTCTACATCAAAAATACTGGCAGGGTATGGAAACTGCACGTCATCCACTCTATACCTCACCCGACTTGCAGGCAAACCCTGAAATGAAATCATTGATCTATCAGGATGGAAGTAGAGAACATCAGTGGAAATAAGCTGACTTTTAAAATAAATGCCTTTGTAGAAAAGAAAAATTGTCATGGTTCCACGCACTGTGTTAAAATTTGACAGGATATTTTCTTTGTGAACAATTCAACTCTAACCAATGAAGTGCATTGCAATTAGGCTTTGGTAAAATGATTTTTATGAGGGGAAAAATTAGTATACTTCCACAGCCATCTTTACTTTCATTCTACATGTTGTCTGCCTCCCTAAACACCCATTGTCTGTGAATATTTTATTTTCTGCCACAGTTGTTTCACTTTTAATTGTGCTCATATAAATCCAGAACACTGGTTTCTTTTAGCTTATGTATCCACACTATAGCTAAATGGCTACACCTGAGAATATTCACCAATCCCCCTATCCACTAATAATCTACAACCAACTGTCATCATAGTCTTGACTACTGTGGACAACTCATACTTTGATTTCCTTCCATCTTTTACAACCACCTTATTTTCTGTATTGGATACTGATGTGGCTCTCTGCTTTCATTCTCTTAAAATTGTCTTCAAAATAAAAGCACTCTCAGCTGCGAGTGGTGGTCCACACTGGTAATCTCAGTGCATGTGAGTTCAAAGAGAAAAGGCCAACCTGTGCTTCCTAGTGAGTTTCAGGACATTTTGGAATGCAGAGTAAGACCCTGTATCAAAATAAAAAACAAACAAACAAACAGAAACCTAGAGAGGGAGCAGGAGCCAGAGTACATAAGCAAGAGACAATTCAATCTCATAAATGCTGTTCCTAACCCTCTGGTGCTTTCCATCAAAGACATAAATCTAGACTCCTCACATGGGGATAACAGATCTTGAAAATGTTTCATTGTTTTCCTACCTAATTGGAAATCACTATTCATTTTGCCTCATGTGTTGCTGCTATTTATGCTTGGATACCTTTGTTTTATTCCTGATACACCAGTTTGACAGGCTTCCATTTTCTTAAATTTGTGCTCATGATTCCCTGGATCCATTTAAGATGTGCCCCTAAGCTATTGTTATTCGCCAGTCTTACCTGGAATTGTTTCACACATTTCTGTTTACTTATTGTGATAGTGTAAATATGAAATATCCCCTACAGGCTCATGTTTTGAAATATTAGTTCCCAACTTTGCGGCAGTTTTCATGATGCTAAGATCATAGACATGTACCATGATGCTTCACTAAATGCCCTTTCCCCCCCTTTTTATTATTTTATTTTATTTTATTTTATTTTATTTTTTTGGTTTTTACGAGACAGGGTTTCTTTGTATTGTTTTGGAGGCTGTCGGTCCAGCCTGGCCTCGAACTCACAGAGATCCGCCTGCCTCTGCCTCCCGAGTGCTGGGATTAAAGGCGTGCGCCACCACCGCCTAGCCTTCGCCCCCCCCCTTTTTTTTAAAAAATTAGAAATAGTGATGTCTCTAATCTTAATTCATTTATGTCACACTTTATGTGCTTGTGGATTTTCTACCCACTAATAATCTGTTCACATACTCCCATCCATAGCTTACATTTATTTCTGAAGATGGCAGGGATAATGAGAGACAGACAGACAGCTTTCTTTGTGCTTATTCTATGCTTATGATATTCACTACGGGTTAAGGAGCGATGATAGCTAATACATAGACTTCTCCAGAGACGAGGAATAAGGATGTGGTGTGGTTACAGGGACCCCCACATCATTACTTATGTGTGTTAGGTCTTTTTCCTCACTCTATAGACACATATCCCAAGAGACACAAAATATATTCTGATTAACAGAGTGTAGTAATTATATTATATGTCTAGTTTGACCTGATAAGTAATTTTAACATATTTTAAGCTCAAAGTGATATTATTATACACATGCACACATAATAGCATATATACATATATATGTTAGTATATCACCATATGTATACATATTTATCAGTTTGAGTGTTAAAAATATCTATTTAACTTTATTCTTTTGGGAAGCAATCTGATTATAATATGTATTTTCTTTGTGCATTTTATGTATATTCTTACATTTTTTCAGGAAAATTTTGCTGTCAATATAAACCACTTCATCAGACAAGGCATTCAGTGAAAGTCTCCCAGGCAAATAAAACAACCAATAAGCGAAGAAGCAACACAAGAAATTTAATTTTATATTCTTAAATGTAAAGGAGATGGTATTAACTCTGCAATACCTTTTGTCTGCTAAAATTGACATTTACAAGCCTGCATTGCTATGGACACATTACTATGAGTCTTACTTATTATAAATATGCTGACAGTGTGATATGATATACTCTATAGCCTATGGGCCCAGATATAAGAATTTTATCAGGATGGTACATACAGTATGGTTTTCTTAGAAACTGAAACTCAGTATAATTCCATACCATAAGATAGAAATCATTAATATGGAAAAGTAAATATAAATTTATATGAAGAAATTATAAGCAATTTGAATTATTTTTTGTTATTAGTACATTTTTTACTTTAGACTTCCATTCTTATGGGTTAAATGCAGCATGTTTTGACTTAATTATGGTAAAGATAGAATTAATTAGTACAGACAGCAATTGCAGATCTGTGTGAAAGATATTGCAAACATACAAACATGAGGAATTTCAATGAGACTGTAATGGACCAAAATAATTAGATTCCTACTATCGCAGGGTACCTCATTTAGTTATTCTTTAATACATACTTAACAAGTAATTACTCAGACTCACATAACTTCATTTATAGTAATGTGATCATGCTATATCAGGAAATACTTAACACATCATCATGAAATTCAAATAATAAGTAATTTGTTTTCCAGATACATGAAGATTTGTTTTTCTCCCTGGCATGGTTTCAAAAACTCTTTCTTTTAGTGTCTTTGAGAACAGCATTGTTTTACTGCATAAGTATAATTGACATACAATTGTAATTCATGTACAATCTTCCAAGCATGAGTTAGCACAAGGAATTACTAAAAAGTGGTTAGCATTTTTCATCATTCATGATAATTTTGTCAATTACTTTTTGTAATTCTAATGAAATACTATGATATCCATAAAAATGATAAAGAGGAAATATGGGTCAAGCTCAATTTATCCCAAAGATCTGTTTTTCATTTTCTGCCTATCTATATGTAACACAGAAGTCTGATAGGAGGAGTCTTCATGTCATATGCCATGTAATTAGTAGTCATGCAGTTGTGGTATGACTATAGCTTTAAAGTGCCAAGAAACATTTCTTTGACATTATTTCACACTTAAGATCTTGGGAAATATGCTTATTAGAGGGAAAAATAACTCTCAAGACATCAAATAATACTATTCTATAACTTTCTAATTCTGACACATTTGCTAGGCTAAGAAACAGCAAATTCCCTACTTCCCTTACAAAACAGATCACATAACCTAGAGGTTGGACCTGGACCAGAGTGGATCATTTGAGATCCTGTTTCTGCTCCCATAAAATATTCCTACTTTTAAATGATAAGACAGGGGATTTTGGGGACTGGAGAGATGGCTCAGTGGATGAGAGTACTTGTTGCTCCTCTTGGGGCCTAAGTTTCATTCCTAGCACCCAAAACTGGTGGCTTACAATTGCCTGTAGCTTCAGTTCTAAGGTTTACAGCGTCCTCTTCTGGCCTTCATGGTCACAAATGCATGTGTTATATCCTCACACACATACATACCAATAAAAACTAAAAATGAATTTAAAAATCAAGAATTTCTACTACTGCTGCCTTCATGAGGTTTGAAATAGGTCTCTTAGGAATATTTTCAGCCGATGTTCACTGGAACTATTATGTGTTCAAATCACAGAAACGACTTAGGAGTGTACTGGTAGATCAGACTGCAAAGATGTGTTCTATATGCACAAAACTGTATGCATAGAGTGGAAAGGTTGCCAAGTATACACAATCATAGCAGAAAAGGCAACCCTGCCATTTGTAACAATGGGAATCCACCTTAAGAACACGATGTTGCTCCAAACAGTTAAGTGCATAAAGAAAAATACTACTTAATTCTTCCTGAATGAGGAATGCATAAAAGTAGAAATATCACCTATATTTGCATTAAGAATCTAAAGTAGTCAAAGAAACAGAGAAGAGAACAGAGGTTGACAAGGACAGAGGGGGAGGAAAATGGGGAGCTGATGTTCACAAGGTCCAGCTTTCAGTTGTGTGTTTTTGTTCTGTTTTCTATATGTAAGAATTGAAGGGCGTAGTGCTTAAATAAATGTAGGAGTAGCTGTTGGGGGGCCCATGTAGAGCTGATGCTGTTTCATGCAAAACCCATTTTCTTGAAGCCCTGGGAAACTGTCTTCAGTTAATGAACATTCAAACTTGTGTATAAGGAGCCATAAATATCAGGGAATATTAACATGAGAATCAATATCTAATTACTAGTGTGTAGATTATTTCCAGTAGACAGGAAAAAACAAAACACAAAAGTAATGATAAAATTATCTTGGCTTTATAGCACTTTAAATAACATAAAAGAGTAGGGATCATATACGTATGGTGTTAAGGAGAAAACATTAGAAGGCTCTAATAGCTTGTCAAAATATGTTTTATATGTACCAACAAAATAAAACCCCATATTTCTAAGAAATCAGTGTCTATCCTCAGCTAAGCAAAGGTGCGACAAGATACACTGCTTAGAAATGGAAGGATCAGTGTGTGAAAGTGTGGGGCTCACTCACATAGCATAAACTGGAGTTCAGCATATGATCACTTTAGAATACCCAGATATTCAATTAGGATGCTACGAATAATTCTTATGGAGACCTTCTGTAAGCAGTTTAGAAAAAAAATTGGGAACTATGCCTGACACTGCTTGGATAGCCAAGAAAATGAGACTAGATAAGTCATGGGCCTAGGAGAATAACAAATACTACTGTTCTGTTGCTAAAGGATCATAACACATAAATGAGCCCTAATGACACCCTGTTATACCTTACAGATCAGTGTCTCACTCAGTCACTGCC